GTGTGTGTGTGTGTGTGTGTGTGTGTCACAGTTTGCCTCTCTGCTGCAGTGAGGTGTGACCCAGGGTTGGGTGTATCCCAAACAGTGCAGTAAAATACCGCTGTGATGTTTTCCTGCATTTCTTTTGTTCTTGCAGATACAAGGGGAAACAGGAACTGGATGTCACAGCCACATTTTAAGATGGGGACATGCAGGGTTGCAGGATCGTGCACGTTACGACAATATGTGACATCATGATGATGCACCCCCCCCCCACCAGAGGGTTTGTACGGTCTAAACAAGGCAAAGAATTCAGCACCTTCTCCCCACATTTGCAGTGACTTCACTGAACCACAGGCCTCATGGTCTCATGCTGAAGGGGCCTGATCTCGCGAGGATTCCTCCCCTTTGCACACACATACACGTACACACACACATACATACACGTACACGCACACACATTCTAGCGCACGCACACACACGCGCACCATCATCACTCCTCCTCCTCCTCTCCCCAGCCCCTCCCTTTCCGTCCCCTGCTCGCCTCTCTCCTCTCCAGTCTTGCCTGCCTGTCAGATCAGTGCTCCAGTGTCGGAGGCTAGGCTACCCTCCTCCTTCTTCTTCTTCTTCTTCTTCTTCTTCTCCTCCTCCTCCTTCTCCCCGGACCCCGTTACGAGAGAGCCAGCCGCCGTCGTACCCCAAGGCTCGGGCTCCGCCGCCTCTCTCACAGCCACGACCATGGCGACTACCGTGACTTCCACCAGGTTCACCGACGAGTACCAGCTGTACGAGGAGCTCGGGAAGTAAGCAGCCAGCCCAGTGTGCATCGTGTCTGCCTTGTCGTTTTGTGTGTCCCCCTCCCCACCCACCCCCGCAACCTCGCCTCACTCACAGTATTCCTCGGTAGCCACTTAGCACGGCGCTAGCTAGCCAAACTAGCTTAGTCGCGTCGCAGCGTTTTGAATGATGTTTGTCAGCGGGCGTGAAGCGGCGTGTGTTGTTGGTGCAGTCCGGCTGAATCAACCGCTGCTAACGGCTAACTAGCTCCCCGCCGCATTAACGGAGAACGACTAGCCACCTAGCTACCACGCTGATATTGTTACGTTAGCCCAGCAGCGTTGCGTCTTTTTTTCCCAGTCGCTTATGGTGACGAATGTAAACCTCGCCAGTGTCGATGCACGCAGCGGCCCGTAGGTGTTTTGCCAGCCGAGTCCGGTGGAGCCGTCAGCGGGCCCCGGAGACTTCGGAGACGCAGCCCCGATGACATTTCACCGGCCCCCGGGGTTCTGACAGCTCCGTGCGGGCTCAGACCAGAGGCTGTGGTCGGCAGCTAACTAGGCCGATCACCCTTTTTTCCCCGTCCCCTCCGAGCAGCTGCAGATGATTTGTGTAACCGTGTTGAGTAACGTTACGCACCCCTGGATCATTTCACGAGGAAGTTATTGGCTGCGTTATGTCTGCGCCGTAATACGCACTGAAAGGCTCCGCACAGCCGCCGGCCCCCGATCGTGATGATGTTATCAATAAATGTAGCTGTGGCTGCTGATCGAAAAGCTCATGCAGTTTTAATCCAAAGGCACATTTGGTGATTTACCGTGCAGGAGGCAGTGACGTGTTTTCTCGGTATTTTGATGACGGCAAGAAAACCGGGCCACTGCCTCCTCTGTTTCATCATCATAATCAGCAGCAGCAGCAGCGGCAGCATCTGTTGTTCTTGGCCGGTGAAGCGCCCCCGCCCCCGGGTTGTGCCCAAAGCAGCGGTGGCAGGGCGACTCCATAAAGATGCACCAGCCTCAATTTCCAGCTGCCATCTTCACTATCTGCCTAATAATCCACAGCACTCATTGCACATGCTGAATACGCATTTACACCCACACGATCATAGTGGATCTGGGCTCCTCGGCTCCTGATTCTCTCCTGGAAGCTGACAAGTCACCCCAGTTTATCCTGTGCCCGCTTGTTAATGCATTTTGCTCCGTCATAGGTTATTAACGTCAGCGCACTGACTTGCACTTCTGTCACCTGTCACCTCTCATTTACTGGTAAATAATTGAAACTAAGAGCAGAGTGGTCGGAGTGGAGTGCAGCACTAAGACGCAGCCCTCCTTGTATGATCAGGAGTAGTGCATTGGGAAAAAAGCAGCCTTCCCTTTTCAGGAAAGCTGCGAAGAGGGCCGGATACTGCAGCTTGTACAGGCTCTGATTTCGGCACCCAAAAAATCTTGCACAGCTAGAATTGCACTCTTGATTCTGCCAAGGCCCAACAGTCCACTTAAATTAAAACAAGCCTCATTGCTAAGGCCACATTATGTTTCTGAGCTACTCATCTGCAGCTGAGATAACACATTAAAATCTACTTGATCCAGATATTTATTTTTGAAAGCACAGAACTGCACGTTGCAAGTTTTTGATCAAGATTCACATGCAATTCTCTGAGAATCAATGTAAATGTTGAAAAATCTCTCAATGTTAAAGAAATTGAAAACAAACTCATGGATCAGCACCAAAATGTAGTTGGTTCTTCCCTGACCCATACTGCATCCCTCCACCAAGTTTCATGGTAATCCATCCAGTAGGTTTTGTGTTTTTCTGCTTAATAGCAGATAAACACATAACCTCCTTGGCAGAGGTAATGACTTTTCCTATGATGCTCAAAATGTAAGCGTCGTCATAAAAGCAAGCAGGTGAAAATGTGGAGCATTTAGGTCAATGTGAAACTCTTCTCAAAGTAGGAGTTGTTTTATTATGTGTTAAGCACTTCCCTTTCTGCTTGAGATGATTTATAACTGAACATTGTTACCTTATGAATGCATTAAATGTTGCCCATTGTTGTGCGTGATGCTGCCCATTCATTCTGGAAGATAGTTGGTAGAAATTGAATTTCTGTCAGAGCAATAGGTTGCATTGTATTTAGTGCCTATCAGAGATTAACAAAAGTGCATGGTCATTCATTCAACCCATTGCGGGAGAAGAAGTAATTTTCAGTGATTGTTGCTCATGTTTTCATATTGTATACACTGTGTGTGTGTACATGTGTGTGCGTGCGTGTGTTTGAGTGTGTGTGTGTAAGAGAGAGAGAAAGTCGAAGATTGTTAGCATACACAAACAAACTACTGCCACACGCATGGATGCAGTTTCAAATGTCACAGTGTGTCTGTGTTTATGAGAGAGTGAGAGAGAGAGAGAGAGCATGTGAAATGGAATTGATTTTTGGATCTTGATGTTCTTTCTTCTTAGGGGAGCTTTTTCAGTGGTGCGTAGGTGTGTAAAGAAGTCATCAGGACAGGAGTATGCTGCAAAAATCATCAACACTAAGAAGCTGTCTGCCAGAGGTACGGTAGCACACCACACACGCTCACACACATGCAGATATCTGCATTTTTGCTTTGTTCATGATGCATATTGCTAAGGACCTCTGCATGGTATATATTCAAATTGCAACATTGCTCTTTCTTGGTATGCAATAAAGTTTCTGGAAATTTATTGAGAAGCATTCCATAGATAACATAAGTGCCTTGGGAATAATCCAGTGAGTTAAATCAAGGTACCTCATATCCTGTAAATTCAATATTGCCATAAAGCAGTTCATCTTGCCGATCGCTCAGCCTTATTGAAAAGAATACATATAAACAAGAATCCCATACTTCCAATTGCAGGGAAACATTTTATTCAATCATTGCATCTGTTGGGAGTTTTAATCAGCAACTTCTTGGTGCTTTAATGACCCTCTATAAACACTGTATTGAATAACTCTCAATCACTCCTCTGTGGTATCATTATGCAGCTGCTAGACAACTAATTGATCCAAATTCCTGAGAAGCTCCTCATGGCCTGGACACACAAACACACACACACACACACACACAGACACACACACAGAGGAGTGAAATAAAGCAATAAGAATTGGCAGCACATGAATGATCTCTCTAGACTGTTATCTTGTTAATTGTTGCCTTGGTGTATTCACATAACTCTGCGTATCCCATGCCCACGTGCACTCGCCCGGTGCAGCTTGCCATGTCGTATCAGTGATGGAAGCTCATTTCAGTGTGTCAGAACCTCCCCTGTCTTCAGACTCGGATGCTTAATTGCTTTCCTCTTTTTTTGTATCTGACAAATAAGAGATACACACCTTCCTGACATTCACACACACACCTGGATTGATTTGTTCCCCTTACCTGCACACCACCTCTGGTGTGCCTCTCCCTCACTGCCTTTCTTTTGTCTTTCTGTGATGGGGGATTGGTTTGTATTGAGGCTAATCCACTTAGCCTAAATGTATCTCATCAACCACTAAGACCTCATGGATTCCATAGGCGCCTCCCTGTTTTTGTCCGGTGTGTGAGAAAACTAACAGTAAGCTAATAGAGCATGTCAGTGAGGCATTTGTGTTGGTGTTGTAATGCCGTTATTGTTCTATCCACTGTGGTGGTATTAATGTCCCACCAAGGAAAAGTAAGGGCTTAGCAGAAAAGGGTTGGCTCTTCACTGAGGTACGCAGCACAATGTGGGCCCGTGTATATGTGTGTATTTGCTAGGGGAGAAGAAAGCTGGGCCAGGATAGGAAGAGGAGGAGATTTTTAACAGTATAGTCTTGCAAGGAGATCAGTGACACTCTGCACCAGAGAAGAAAGGTGAAATGAGAGAGAGAGTGAGCGAGACACTATAGACCAAGAGGAGGGAACAAGGGGGATTTTGTGCGAAAAGAAGAATTGCTGTAGGCTGTGTGTCTGACGCAAACATGCACCTACATGCACACAAAACGCAACATTGTCCACACATGGAGGCATCCAGTGCGTGAGCAGGCAGCTTGCCCGGTAGGATTTGGGTGGTTTTTTTTTAGCCCGATGGGGCAAGTGTGACCTCACGCGTGGCCTGGTGGGTAAGTCTCTCAAAGCTCTGGTAAACACTGCAGTAATCTGAGGAGGGGCGGAGGAGGGGGTGCAGGGAGGGAGGCTGATGAAGGAAGGAAGGAAGGAAGGACATGAAAGAAGGAAGGGAGAGAGGGAGGTCAGGGATGGATGTAGGCAGTTGGCGCTGGGATAGTCCAGCCTACAAGCAGTTGGAGGTGGATGCGAGTGGGCAGCCATGTACACTATACACTCCCACGCTCACAAAAACCATGCGCCTGACTCTCACCCAGAGAATCAAGGGTCTTGATTATGATGTTTTTTGTCTCTATATATATTTTAGTTCATATTCTATAAAACTATACATGCTGTTAGTTTCATACGACAGTACACAAAGTGCTGTGTTGGTGTGTTACGACTCACTGCGTAGAAGGCTGCTCTGTTTTATTTTGTTGTAGATTGAAGTGACTGTGGAAAGTAGATGGCTGCTGCATTGTCTGCTGCAACTGTGTGTGTCAGATTGAGACAGACTATCCACTTTGATGTGCCACCCTTATACTTTTCCTCCTCAACATTGTTGTAGTGTCCTACATTCAGTGTCCTGGGGCGGTATGATTGTCCCAGTGAAAATAATTTAAGTTGTGCCACTCGACTAATATTATTTATTGTTCAGCAGTTTCCCCAAATCCTGCCTGTAAGGTCTAAGCTCACCTCCGCAGCCAAACTCAGCTTCATAATGACTGTTGCCAAATCACGAAGACTCGGCCGTCATCTCCCCTGAGTGATGCCAGGGTTCAGACCTCTGAATCACTGCAGTGTCTCTGATTTGTGCAGTGATTTGAGATTTGGTGTTGGATTTTCCCCCGGAATTCAAAAGCATCTGATTTTGAGAGCGTTGTCATCCAGATTAGGATGGGGGGGGGGGGTGTCCCTTTCCAACGTAGCTAGCTACCAGGATACTCTATATACATAAAAAAGAATAATGGAAAAAAGATACAGAAGGTCATTCACGAACGTCAACCTTAAGAGATATCAACATGTTTCTTAAATCACCATGATAAACATTAAATCAACTCCTTCTAACAACAGATACCACCTTCCCATTGTTGACTGATATCAGCTCACAATGAGTAAGATGTCAGTCTGAGTAATGAAGTGAAACAGAATTGCGCTTCAGTCTGATTATCAGATTACTGTCTGTGTTTCCAGTCATTGATCAGAAAAAGTGACTCTTGGGCTTTGTCTGGATTGGTGGTGTGTCGCGGTTACTATGGTTACCGTAATGGCGGTTGTTTTTCTTTTTTTGCATTTGTACTATTCCAGTTGCGATCCTGCTTTTTACAATGTGAAGCACTGGAAGTATGATTTAGATTAGCCATTTTAGTTAGTTGTTTTTTTTGCTCGAGAGAGCCAAAGTAAAACCAGTTAAACCAGACCTTCTGGATTCTGTCACAGAAGCAAGAATACCTCCTTCAGGTATTAAAATTCAATTCCAGTATAATAATTGTATACATGCTTGGTACAGAGCTTTTGAAAGTTTAGACCACATGTTTATATAAGTATGGTTTTGAGCTAAATCTTTTAATGTTATTGTTTTTTGTCAACATATTTATCAGTCTTTAATTAACTCAATTTTTCACTAGCCCTTGATGTTCATGGCCTAAAGGTCATGACTTTACAAAAGATGACACTAAGAGCCAGTCGAGGGGATGTTGATAGCTCAGCATGTCTGTAATAACAGCTGGATACAGAAGAGCAGACTCTGTAATAGTTTTTAGAAGGCCCAGATAACTGCCAAAATATTAGAAAAGCAGAGCCTTTACGCCGTTCAGAATTTATCGCAGTACACTTTCATTTATCATGGTCTTAAATCGAAATTGTTCAAAACCCGTCTAACCCTATTTTTTTTACTGTATCTCAGTTTCAAGCAACCATTCTGTGAAACATTTCAGCTTAAATTTGGTAAAAAGGTCACTATCTAATATGAGATATTTACAAATACCTTATTAACATGGCAAGTTAATATTTTGTAGCCACACAGTGCAAAGCGGCGAAATTTGTTTGTAGCTATTTGCCGTCCTTACTTAATGATTGGTTAGATAGTTGATGAATTTGAGCTTATTTTGTTCTATCAAGGCATTTTAGAAGCATTTTATTCCTCATTTTGAATAGGTTTCATTTGGTATTTGTACCAAACAATACTACCAGCAACCTGCTGGCAAATGCAATACAATAAAAACAGATTTGTTCAATGGGTGTCTTAGGGAAAGTGTATATGAGTGGTTTAACAATAGCTCAATAGCTATTACAGAGGTAAAACAAGGTATAGCACCCCAGTAAGTGTATATTTAAGGCTGTTCATTAGGGAATAAAATGTGATATTAGGATATACTCTTTAAATGTCCCCTACAAACGTACAACCCCCCCAAAATACTGGCACGGTATCAATACCTATTAATTCTGTCAGAATTAAAGTGGTGTTTGACTCCGTCAGCATACTGATTCTGTCAGTAAACCACAGTTTGGATGTAAAGTTGCCTTAAACAGATTGAACGGGATCCTCTGTGAGATTGACGACTTTCTATGTATGGCAGAGAGATGGGCACGTGTGTTGGGTCCACTCCATCCTCTTCAGCTGATGTAAGATGGCTGTTGGCCCGCCCCACGGCAAGGCAGATGGCCAATTAGAGAGCAGCAGGAAGTGCCAGTAATTACCCTCCAGCCCTCTCTTTCCTGTGTTCTTCTACCACACACTCTCGCACCAACAAATAAGGAGATTGAATGAATTAGTGAGTGCTGCAGTGACACTGCACCAGGGTAGTCAGCTATTCACAAACACACATACACACACAGGGGAGCTCTTATCCTCTTCCAGCAAATGGACGTTGCATGTAATCCTCCCTCCTTCGCTCTGTCTGTCCGTTCTGTGTCACTGGTGTAATTAGGAGGTTCAGGTCTCTATGTCATTCGCTCTCTCTCTCTCTCAGATGAGGTAAATCTATATCTGCAGTGAGACGACAGGGAGGGCGGAGGAAGGTAGATGTGGAGAGTGTAGCACCATGCTAGAGTGCAGACGACACATCTTCAAAACAGCTGACGTCAGCTTCAAAACGCATCCAAGTTGGAAACAAGTTGGGGATAATTATGCAAAGAAAGTGTAGACAACAAACTGAGACTGTTGCAGGAAGCGACACTGCTTTTAATAACTGTGCTCTTATATTATATCTGTACATACTTTATTGCATCTGTAGGAGTAACAGTTGGGTGAGATGGTATTTGATTGCTCAGCAACAGCATGTGGAATTTATCTGAGGCTGTTGCTGCACTGGGGAAATAAATGCAAATCTTAGCGAGGCTGCCTCATTGTTTGCGTGTGTGTGTCACAGTTTGTGTGCTGGACTCACCAATGAGCTATTGAGCTAATTAGCTTTACAACAGTGAACACACACACATCTACACAGATCTAGACATTCTGGATCTTCACTAGTTACCCCAAGCAACATCTGACCTCATCAGCATGGTTGTAGCATAGTTGTGGCTACTGTGGGAGGGAGGAGTGTCACACGGTCATGTGGTTTACGTGCTACATCTCACACAAACACTTGCATGTGCACAGCTACAGGATTTAGTCAAATCTTCAAACAAGGATGTTGGCTTAGACACGCGGCGTGTGTTCTTGCTAGCATCGCCTTCCAGCCAGGAGTGCAAACACTGCAGTGCTCAATAACCGATCTGGTCTTCTCACATCTTTACACATTGCAAACGTATGCACCCATGACTACACATCCTCATTAATGTGACCTGACTGTTTAATAACCTTAACTAAAACCACACTTGAGATTAATAGAGCTCTGCTTGGGACTGTTACAGTTCAGAAGCAAATGCAGCTGCTCAGCTTGAACAACTACTACTGAAAGGTTAGCGCCATGGTGTAAAATATTTGCATTGAGATACTTGCACAACAAGTATTTGAATACAAAGGTGATTTTGACCAGTGTGAGTTTAGCTAGAGCTAGCAAAAAGTCAGCATGTGGGCAAAATTTCACTCAAAACAGTGTGTGGCATATGTTTGACTTTAGTTTCAATGATGCCAATCATCACATCCATACAGCTCTTTAAATGTGTTACACAAGTAGTTATTTTCAATGCACTGGTATCAGATCAGTACTCTGTAGGCCCGTGTGCAAAGTTCAGGTTTCAGAATCGGTATCAAGAAGGGTAAATGGTTTCGGAACATCTTTAGAAATCAAACATAATTTATACCTATAGCTGTGTAAAATTTGGATGATAGTTCACAGGTAGAGTGTGATCACTCACTGAAAGACATTTTGTCAGACTTAATTGTAAAATTTCTTTTTCGTCTAGTGGTTATGATCTGTACCATGTTCTCCTCTTTTTCCGTCCTTTCTCCTTCCCCGAACTTTCCTGTCTAAACCTACTGTCAACAATCAAATTAAGTCGATAAATAAAGTGGCATTATTGCAGAGATATTTTAAGTGATAAACTTTTTTTTCTGTCATTTTGTCTGACCGCCTATATCAGCAGTCCCAGCTAATCTGACTTCTTGTAATGGTGTACGAATGCTTTCTCGCTCTGATTACAACCAGTCTAAACAGTGACTTCTCTCTCCTCAGACCATCAGAAGCTTGAGAGAGAGGCTCGTATCTGCCGTCTCCTGAAGCACCCCAACATCGGTGAGTCTTTGTTCAAAATGGCTAAATGTGTGATTTTGTATTTATTGTGTTGCTCATGCCTAAAGAATACTGTACCTGTAGAGCAGCTGGAACCTGCATGGGTCAATTCCATTATTCAGTACTAAGGCTGTTGACAGATTTGGTCTGATCCTCTGAAGTTAACCTGTTAGCTGTGCAGGAGAAGTTACCATGGTAATCTTTGACTGTCAAAAGTGAACCAGCTCCATAAAGAACGAGATGCCACGCGCTAGAGAAAAGCTCAGTCTGCTGTGATGCAAATGGGATGTCTGGCATCATCTTGGTATAACAGCTCAGGACTACAAGCTTTGGTTGAGTTGATGACAAAGAGATGACATCACCTATATTGCCTTGAAACACAAAATAAGTCAGTGGCAGTGGTTTAGCTTGATACTTGCTGACTGTGCTGAGATCAGACATTGCTCAGATGTTTATGAGGAATGTCTTCAGCTTTCTTCGCTTCTTGGTTAAATGACTCTTTCTGATTACTCGGCCTACAAGTATCGTAATTGATATTATAATGATGATGATTAAAAATTTAAATTTTCCAGCTCTAATGGAGGTGTCCTGAGGAGATAGGGGTCAAAGGGTAAAAAGGGGGAAACTGACCAAATCAATTACACCTTTCTCACTGCATTTAATTTTTTTTTCCTCCTGTCCTAGTTTTCTGTCTGTCCCCCAGGCACTCATTCGTCTCTTGCCTAGTTTCCCTGTTTTCTTCCCCCTCTCTATAGATTTTTCTCAGTTTCTTGTCCTTTACCCTCTTTTTTTTAAACATATTTTGGCATCATATGCATTCAAAGTTTGGACAAAAGAGGGCACAAAAAAGAGACAGATGGAGAGAAGAACGCAGGAGGAGTGGGAGACAGATGGAGGGAGAGTGAAAAGATGGGAGGAGGAGGAAAGAGCAGTCGCTCTTGTTTCTTGCTGCAGGGCCATCCTACTTCATCTTATTATACAACTGATATTCATTTTACATAACGATAACTGTGGCTCCCCTGACACTAAACCTAAGCTGCATCTCAACCCCATCCTCTAACTCCTGGATCCTGCCGTCTGAATTCTGCTTTGTCATTCTGCTGCTGTTGAGTTACATTGACAGAAGGGCTGGGATAGAAACCGTCTAACCTCAATATCATAGAAATGGAGAGCTCATCCCTGTAATCACCATTTAATTTTTTCAGTCCTTGACTAAGAACTTACTTGTTTCCATCTGTAATTAGGAGACAATTCTGGTCACAAACTCTTTGTGTTTTTTTCTTCTTTGTTTAATAATCTAGTTCCAGATCTCCACCGCCCTCATCTACAGTTTTTCATACAGGTTTTTGTTGGCCTCTTTCACGACTAGCTTCCAGGTAGTCAATCAGAGCTTTGTTATGCAGGAATAGAGCTGTGGAAGTAAAAATCCACCTTTTTTTCTGAATAGAGATTTTGATTATCAACCATAATTTTGTTCCCATAAGCTGCAAGATAGTGAAAAAATGTTATATGTTCATGTAGAAACCACCAATCAGAATTATATCAATGGTGCCTTAAGAAAAATGTGTTTTATTTGCAATGTCAAGGAGAAGTACTACAATTCCCACATCCCTCAGGTTAAATAGCAATGCCCCTAATTGCAGTATTGCAGGGAGGACTGGTAAAAGAAGAAACAGTCATACTAGTTGATCATGGTGAATATGAGCATGTAAAAGGCAGGTACCACAGTTTGAAGAGCATCAAACCTCCAACACGTCACATGTGTTAGAAATCCCACTCCTTTGCGAAATGACCTGCTACAATCACTAAGTTTTGGCTGTCAGACATACATCCCTATTGTATAGAAGTTTGACATATGACGGATGTTTTATTGTTTTTTTACTCTTCATTTTGCCTCAAACAAAATGCTTCCATCACTCAATGTCAGTAATCAGAGTGTGGTGTTTTAATTAATTGGTGGTTATTCCCCTAACCACTGGATGCAACATTAAATCACAGCGGTGAGGGGGGAGAAAATCAATACATCACATCCGTAGTTAACAGTCATTTCTTAAGCTGTGCCCTGGTCCATTCATCTCTTCAAAAAATTTAGACTTTGCATTTTCTCTTAAGGTTCATGAGGAGGTTTAACAGTCAAACAAAATAGCAATTCGTTATTTTGCCAGAGTCTTTCTTTCTGTCTCACTGCCCACCCTTTCTGTTGCAGTGAGACTCCATGACAGCATTTCAGAGGAAGGCTTTCATTACCTAGTGTTTGACCTGTGAGTATACACACACGCACGCACACACACACCCAGTGACATTTTGTCCATGCATGGGACAGCATTTTTGTTTGTGTATGCTAACAACTTCTCTCTCTCTTGCCTCCCCATCTGTCTTTCTTTCTCTCTCTTTCTCTCTTCCCATCTTCCTCGTTTTCTTCACCCTTTCCTTCCTTCCCTCCCCCTCCCAGGGTGACAGGAGGAGAGCTTTTTGAAGACATTGTAGCCAGGGAGTACTACAGCGAGGCCGACGCCAGGTGAGCGTCTCATATGGAAGCTGCTGCTCACATTTACATGCACACACACTCTCTGCGGCCAACATGCAGCTTAATCCTGTTAAATGTATGAACTCTCACTTGGTTTATGAATGTGAACACACACGCTGCTGGATGTAATTGGTTTTCTTGTATTCTTGTCAGCAAATGTGCCTGTCAACAGGTGCATGAATATACTTGTCTCCCTTTTCTATTTGGCCTCATGCGTCACTCCTTCGACATTTATTACCAGGCATAAACACCTCAAATTTGCTGGTTTTAAACTGTTTTTTATGACAAATTGAATATCTATGGGGATTTGTTCTGTTGAATGGACACCTTGGCTTATGTAAAAATCGTCCTGGACATTTTCTTTTCATTTTGTGGACATTGACGCTTTTTATTCTCCCTCTCTACTTCTTCCTCTGTGGTATCCTTCTTTATTTCCTTTGGCTTTGTGGTCTGCAGCTTATGAAGTCTGTTGTACAATTGGATTAGGGGTCTTCATTTGTTCCTAGTCACAGGGGGCTTTTGGAGACACGCACACAAACCAAAGCTTAAAATCCATGTGGCCACAATTTCTCAAGCTGGACACTACCTTTCACCCATTAACCTTTGTAGAGACATGAACACAAGTACTGGGATTGTTGAGCCTTACGCCACAGCGCGTAGGACTGTAATAAGCTGGTCAACTCATCAAAAGGCCCATCGTGAGCGAACACACTCTGGTGTGAAAACACGCTCGCTATTCAGAATTGAGAAATCATGGCAATGGTATTAGTGGCAGCTGAATTGACGCCCACATTACTTAAATTGCTACTGGGATAGAGATTTATTGACTGTGTGGTAAAAGGCTTCCCACACAAGTTTCTTTGTATTGATTGTTTAAACTAACAGAAACTGGATAATGTCTTTGAAAAATATAATAGTTTGTATATTAATTGTTTGTTGTGCAATTTAACATTGACTTCCTCTTGTTTTGAATGTAACAGAGGTGATTTATAGTTTTATATTGTTATGCATCCTTGTTTCTTTGTAAGTTTATCCAATGATTGCGATGTGTTCTCAGTCAATAGTTATGGATACAACATTTTACAAGCCTATCACAATTACCTAGAGCCACTGTAGCGTATTTAAAACGCTTTTGTTGTGCAACCCAGTCAAAAACCTATAAACTGAAAAATGACCATATCCTTACATTGAAGCAGTTATGACAAGGTACTGTTTGTAATTTATTGTTGGGAAATTTCTGAAGAAATGATGAAGCAGTTATCAAAATAGTAAGCTCTACTGACATGTGATTGTGCAGAATTTGTGGGTGAGGCACAACTTGTGTGATAAAAGAAAGTAGTCAGTGCACGGTGAGTGGAGTATAGAGTCAAGGCCCAGATATCTGCTGTGTACACTGAAAGTCCCAAAATATATCGTTGCCCTCAGAGGCTAATTTCATTGTCAGAATAGTCTGAAATGAATTGTTTCAGTTCCACATCCCACATTTAAATGTTTATTTGTTCACACATAATTTATCACATATCACAAAGATTTCACTCTGTGAAATAATATAATATTGGTCAATCCAACCTTAAAATGTACAGCAGCTCTCGTTTCCCACTATCAGTTGATCAAGAGTGACGTCATTTTTATCTTCCTAATGATTCCTTTCAAAGTGTTGCAGTGAAATGCATCAGTTTTATAATCCACCAGGCTTTAATAAAACACACTACATTTTTGTAATGATGGGCAGTGAGTGACATGTCTTTCTCTTTTTGTCCCCTCTTCTCTCAACGTAGTCATTGCATTAGTCAGATCTTGGAGAGTGTCAATCATATCCACCAGCATGATATTGTGCACAGAGACCTCAAGGTGAGTGGCTGCCCGTTACCGTGACAACCACACACTCACATGCGCACACACACACACCTCTGTTCGTGGCCATGGCAACACACAGATGGCTCTCTGTAGCTGTCTCTCTGCATTTCTGCTTCCATCCCTTTTATTTTTCCCTTGCGTCGCTCTCTCCCATCTACTGTTTTTACCGTCTATTCCTCTTATCTGTGCCCAGATCTGTCAGCCTGTCAGTCCTTGACCACAACTCTCTGTGTGTCTGTGTGTACATGTGTGCTTGCGTGTTCATGCGGAGCACAGAGATGGTGAGTCATGGTCACGTGGAGGGGTTTGTCTCTCACCAATGGCAAGGAAACGACAAGGCCTCGGAACAGCGCATACGTGCATGTGCACACACATGCACACTTTGTACTTTTGCGAAGGGGGGGTCTATTATGAGAGAGGAGGGGATGGCATAGGTGAACCTCAGGAGTTGCCACGACAACCCATGTGACATCACACCACCCATGGAGCAGTGGGGGAGGGGCTTGCGATGTCCTAACTTGCCAATAGGCTAAAATGCAAAGAGTAGAGGCAGTGAGTCATTTTCTCCATAACCCACTTTAAAGTGATGATGATAATGTTGGTAATAAGGACGTTAATAATAATATGTATGGAAACATACCTTTTCAAGGAAAGACTGCAAAGTCTGAAAAAAATCAGTCTCAAGGGATGTCTCAGACGTGTGTGGGCGGTTTTTGCGCGCTTCGTGTGAGAGAATAACGCTATTTCCTCGAGCGCTGCCTGTCTGATTTGTTGGCCTTTTATCCTGAGTGGGCTTTTACTGCGGCCCTTTATGTCCTGCTGCCCAAACAACGGCCATTTAGAACGCTGCCACACACGCTGCCTCGCGCTAAGTACACTTTCCATTTAGCATGCAGTCTGCAGTGCTGCCTAAATGACTCCCGAGTGGTTTCTATGGCTACGAACCCATGCCCATATAAGGCATTGTGGAGATTCTCAACCACCCATCCTCTCCCTTCCTCCTACGTCTCTCCATCGCTTTCTCACACCTTTACCCCACCCCCGCACGAGCTGTTTCAAACACATCAAATATAAATATTTCTAAGAACCTCTGCTGAAGACTGCCTGTCACTTTCTGTCTGTCACTGTCTCGATCCCTTGTCCTACATTCTGCTTCACCATGTGTGTGTGTCTCCTCTCAGCCTGAGAACCTGTTGTTGGCCAGTAAGATGAAGGGAGCTGCAGTGAAGCTGGCAGACTTTGGCCTAGCTATTGAAGTACAGGGAGACCAGCAGGCATGGTTTGGTAAGAAAACACAAACAGTGACACACACATCAAATATGCTGGATCTGTTAAGCTGTCTCTGTGATTAGCACTGGACCGTTTTGACTCTTCAGCATAGTGCTGAACAGGTCCTCTTTCATATACAGTGGGTTTATATATGTCTGCCTGCTTGGAAGCCAAGAATATTTGCACAAACATTACTTAAGAGGCTCACAGACATTTTCCAGTTCATACTAAGGTCATTGTCTCTTGGCTAACAGCCAAGCTGCCAGTATTTGGCGGACTCTCTAGCGGGGACGAGATGATTAATGGGCATGTGCTTGTGACTCTTCATAAGCTGGTTTTGCATTAGAGTCCAGCAGGTCACTATAAACTGAGCCATTCACATAACCACACAGAAATAGCCTATAACAGAGATTTAATAAGAGGATTCTGTAAATTATAATTTTTTCTGTCGGGCAGGGTTTGCGGGCACCCCTGGTTATCTCTCCCCTGAAGTCTTGAGGAAGGACCCCTATGGCAAGCCTGTGGACATTTGGGCTTGTGGTAAGTCGAGAGCCTAAACTTTAGTTAAATTTAACCTGTGGCAACCGGTGTGTATTGCAGTGGTGGGAAACAAACACCTGACTTGTTTGTCTTTAGTCACATTAACCAGTTCAACAGCTGTACATAGTATCATCTACAGGTAAGATTGTTGCTAAAGGTGAACAGGACGTTTAAACAGAGGTATGATCATCTTAAACCCTGCAAACTGTCAGAGAGAACTCACAGCAAGCACAAGACTCCCAATCACATGACGAAGTGATTTGGTGGTTTGATTGTGGCTTCAAATGACATAAGAAAAAATGCTTGCATCTATTCTAACAATGTTGCCTGCTAATTGCTTAAGATTGTTATGGAATGGACAATAGAAAAAAAAAATCACATTCACTCTCTCTCTTGTTTTCTGTCAGGTGTTATTCTCTATATCTTGTTAGTGGGATATCCTCCATTCTGGGATGAAGATCAGCACAAACTTTATCAGCAGATCAAAGCTGGGGCATATGATGTAAGTGTGTGTGAGGGCGTGCGTCCCTGCATGAGGTGAATATTTGTCAAGGGTGCAGTGCAGGATTTTGCAAAGCAGTTTTTGAATGGTTAGTAGTGTCCAATTGAGAGTTGGTCCACAAGTATTGATCCTATCAGGGCCTCCCTGACGCATTGCAGAGGGGTGTGTCTGTGTGTGTCTCTGTGTGTGTCTCTGTGTGTGTCTCTGTGTGTGTCCGTGTGTGTGTCCGTGTGTGCCTCCGTGTGTGTGTCCGTGTGTCTGTCCGTGTGTCTGTCCTTGTCCGTGCGTGACAGAGACAGAATCAGAGAAGGGGTGTCCTCCTCTCTGTCTCCAGAAAAGCAAGTCACGTTGCAGTTGCCTGAGAGTGGGGGGGGATCTGAGGCAGTCTGTTTCAAGGGAATTTACTTTTAATTTGAATGGTTTAAAGACCAGGAACAGGAGCATGTGTTCTGTTACTCTAAATCGTAATTCTGCTGTTCTGTTGTCTTATCGGCATAATTTTGATGAATTAAGTTGACACCCGGAGCCCAGATGGTGTGGATTAGCCAGAAACATGCCGATGCAAGCCCTTAACCAGGAAACGTGTGCTGTTTACAATCTCTCTCTTTCCATCCTTTCCAACTGTTGCTGTTTTTCCTGTTTCGTCAGTTCCCCTCCCCAGAGTGGGACACAGTGACTCCAGAGGCAAAGAACCTGATCAACCAGATGTTGACCATCAACCCAGCCAAGAGAATCACTGCCGAACAGGCCCTCAAACACCCATGGGTCTGCGTAAGTATTAACACAAGAAGGTGTTGGTGGGTGCATATATGAATCTGGACATAAAACACACACTAATTATTTTCTTGTCTTCCTACAGCACCGTTCTACAGTGGCGTCCATGATGCATAGACAGGAAACTGTGGAGTGTCTCCGCAAGTTCAATGCTCGCCGAAAACTGAAGGTACTCAGTAAATCTGTTTTGTGACATTTCTTCCTCTGCCTCGAATATTTACTGGTTTCCCTTAACTCATCCCCAGTTCCGTCAGTTTTAGAGTCAGTTTTAGGCTTCATTCAGTCACAGAGTTTTTTGTGTCTTTTGCACGTAGCAAAACCGGAGTCAGACCACACTGCACTAGTGCACTTTAAAGTCATGAAAACGTCTCACCTGAAATCGCAATTGCCTTCAGAACTGCTGTTGTCTGTCTCTATAATAACTTGTTTCCAAGTAACTGCTAAGTTTGTTATCACGACCATAGAACGCCCGCCTCTTAATCAATCCAATTGGACAATCAGGAAAAAGTCAAAATCCCGTTGGATAGTTTTCTGCTCAGAGGTTGTAGTATCCATCCATTAGCAGTTAACACGATTACTTACTCTATCTGGGGGGAAACCCCATCTCACTGCAAACTTCCTGTCTGATCGGGGCCTTATTCAGACTAGTTCTTAAGTGACTGCTCGTAATCAGGTAACGTTGAACTTGAAGCATGAGAAGCATGGCTTCTTTAGAGAAAAGCTCAGAGGAATACATTAAGGGACTTCACTTCAGTGCATCTCTCCAGTAAAGTGATTTATATTGTTTTGATAAAGAACACTCAGATTTGACAGGATTTAGCGGTTGAAAACATCTTCTCCCTGGTGCTGATATGAAAACAGCGATTCAAGATGTTACTATCCCATTAGAAATGAATAGTGAGGAAAAACTAAAATCCTGTTAAAATAAACAATAGTCCTGGCTCTGATTATACTTCCCTCACTTCTTTCTCCTCCTCCATCTCATCCTCCAGGGAGCCATTCTCACCACCATGCTGGTGTCCAGAAACTTCTCAGGTGGGTGTGCCCTTAGCCCTCAGCCTCCCACGCAGCACATGCTGAGGGAGAGGAGGAAGGAGAGTGGATAGAGTCCTCTGCACCTATTTTAACCCCCTCACCACACACACACACACACACACACACACTCACCCACTCATCCTTAAAATAACATTATGTGTTTGTGTGTGCTCAGTAATTTACTTGCTTACAAAATTAAACTGAATTGAAACATGAAGTTCCTGCAAATCATGGTAGAAATAATATGTTAATGATGGATTATGATGAGTGCCTTGATTCCTGATGTATGTGATATTCTGTCATGTTCCAGATTATATGTGAGTGCCAGTTTTGTCCTTGTCTATGCTAATGTATCTCTCCTTGTGTGTGTGTGTGTGTGTGTGTGTGAGTGTGTGAGTGAGTGAGTATGTGTGTCCCTTTTCTTCTGCTGCCTGTGGAGCATTTGCATGTCTGAGAGAGGGAAACCTAGACTTTAATGACAATTTTATGTTGGGGGCAGGTGTAGTGTTATAAAAACGGATGACAGCTATGATTCTGTGTTTTTAATCTCAATTTGCAGATTGCAGGTTTCGTTGAAACCTTGTTCTCAGTTCCTCAGTAATTGGTCAGTCAATGGCTAAAATATTTCAACCCTGGGCCTAGGCAACCACAGGCGTGCCCATTTATGCTTCAGCGTTTTTCTATCAAAGTGTTTGATACATCTGCGCTGCAACCAGCACAGCCTGTAGCTTTCTAGGCCCCCGATTGAACCGCATTAGATAGACCTGCCTAATTTGCATAGCCCCTCCAACTGTAGCATTTCTGTCCAATAGTGGGCCGGCAGCATACCAACTCTGCTGCTGCCGCCTCCTCCACGGCCTCACTGGCTCAGGAAGGTACGTCCCAGAGACACGCCCATCCACTTCCTCTCCACACACAACCACTTCTTTGATTCATAGTACAGGGTGGGCCCTCATTACCCCCTCATAACTCCTGCATGCAGCCTCTGCCAGCATCCCCATCGACATTCACACACACATGCATGCATACTCCCACGAATTTTGTTCATTTAAGTTATTCTGGGTGTGTGTTGGCTTTGCTGTAATGCAAAGACATCAGATTTCATTCACACAGTCGTTAACATCACCATCACTTAATGGTAATTGATTTCATTTAACACACACTTCAAAGTGCTTTTTACATAAACATCTCACCACCACTCAGCCTCAACCTTGTAACCCCTCAACTTCATCCCCCAAATTAGTCATGTCGTCACTTCTTTCAAGCTCCATCCTGACTTCCAGCTGACCCTTTACGTCTCTGTGCTCTCCCCCCTGCCGGGGCTGCGAAGGCACAGGAGCGGACTGGGGCAGGGGATGAGGAGAGGCATGTATCCTGGGGGCGGGAACTGACACTGCAGGGGGCCGGCAAGAGCTGGGTTGGCGTGCTGCCATCGTCAGACCTGGGTCTGGTGGGAGGAAAGGGGAAATGCGGATGTTGAGGAGCTGGGGGAGAGGTTTAGACTGAGACGGAGGATGGGAGGGCTGCCTTTGGTGCTATTAGCGGAGCCAACTGTTTAAACCATCACTGTTGTGCAGCCTTCCTGTTCAATCCCTTGAGCTTAAAGGCATCCCACGTCTCATCTACCCCTCCCGAGGTCTGTTTTAGTACTTTCAAAAATGTCTCAAAGGTAAGACAACATGGCGGTAGATCTGCCGCAACAATTGTCATGTTCTAGGTGACATTCCATCAGTTCTTTCACCAGAGAGGGATGGATTTCTTGGTTTTGAAAGTACTGACACAGGGCTGAGCTCCCAAGCTGCTGGGTGGGAACAGGTGGTGAAGGTCGACGATTCCGATGGTGGCTCCGTGGATTTGAGTACATCAGAAACAGTGCAGAGCAGGCGAGATTCTTGGTCACTTTTACAGACAAGAGAATCTTCTTTGCTCTGCAGTGAATCTCTTTATAGGTAACTAGGATCTATGTGTAGGCAGGATAAAGGTAAAATGTGGTTGCTCATGCAGTGTGTGATTGGTGCGCTGAGAGTCAGGGTGTTTGTGGTGGTTTGACTGTCAGCTGGAGCCCTCCAAATGCGGGCTTCCTCAGTGACACTGGACCAAGTTGCCTGTTTGTAAGTTTCTGTGAATATCTTGTTTGACATCATCACTCCAAACTGGACTCCTCAGCTCTCGTCCTTCTTAATCGTCCAGCTTTTTTTTGTTTGTTTTGTTTTTGATTTATTTTTTTAATCTTCTGATGATGTTACTCATCACTGCAAAATCCTGGCACTTTTTAATATAACTGCTTCCCTGCACTCTGTATAAAGTATGGCTGAGGCAAGGCTTGGCAGTTTGCTCATGATGTTCCCTTTTTAATGACATTATAGCAAAATGTTGGTGTGCGTTTTAAGCATTCCTGTATGTCTCCAGAAAGGTGTTTGCCTTGCTGTCTCTCGCATGTGGGTGTCCTGTGTGGTTATATCCTATACAAAAATATTCTCGGGTGATGCACCTTCAGTTGCTTTCTAACACGTCCTTCCCAGATCACTGCGAGCTGTCACATTGCTTGAGCAGTACATCCCTCTCTGCTGTGGGTCATCTTGACTTTATTCGCCCTGTCATGTGACACTGATGATCATTGTCCCTAACTGAGGAGGGAGGGTTGTGTTTAGAGAGCATATGAACGTGGTGGTCCCAGGCTGTCACGATTACCCTGATAGCTGTTTGGGATAATATTTAGCCAAATCAAGAGCAAATGTTTGTGACCTGATCAATAAGCTCTCCTTTCCCTGGTTTTGGAATGAACATTTTTTTATCCTATCATTTTTTTCCCCGCTGGATGCTGCATGGCCAGGCCAGGATAGAAACTGCATATCGACACTACAGCCGAGATTAAGGAGCATGAGTTGTCTCTTGATATTGTTTTCTGCTGTAAATGCTGTGCCCCTCTTCTCCACTCTCCAATACTGTAATGCAGAGCTGCTTCTTTCAACCCTCCCCTCTCCCCCTCCCTCCCTCTCCCCCTCTTCTATGTCTTATTGGAAGGTAAGAAACACAAGATAAGATTTTTGGAACATGTCAGTAAAAATGAACGAAAAAGGAAGCAACAGAGAGTTGAAAGCTTTAGGTTGAGAGGAAAAGTGACTGGGGCCCTTAGGTTAATGTAAATCAATGATTTACATTAACCTAGCTCAACGCTGTCAGTCCTGGCAGCAGTTTGAGTCTGACCATCACTCTCTTTTTACATCTGCTGGGGTCCTACAGACAGGAAATGGATTGAGGAAGTTAACTTTGCTCTCAGGTTTCTCTTTTGTCCCCAGATGGCAATGAATTGATTATGATGTGAATGGGTTTTGCAGAGTGTAGCAGCCTGTACGGCCAAGGCAAAAAAGTGCCCAAGAAATCCATTAAATACATGTTATTCTCAAGTAGCATCTAGACTTGTCTCATAGGTTCAGCTATTGGGGTTTCATAGATTTGACAAAATGTCGATGTAGATTTTCCCTCATCTTTCTGGGTTTCTATAAGAACCGGGTGAAATGCTGTCATCAGCACTAAAACTCAATTGTCTACCCATTTCTCTCCTTTCTATCCTATCTTTCTTTACAGCATGCAAAAGTTTACTGAACAAGAAGTCCGATTCTGCCAAGGTAAGGTTGTCTCTTTACCTCTCTGCCCTCGTTTGTTCTGAGACATCATGTCCTCTGTCTCCTTTGTTAGCTGACCCCCTTTTTTTACCTTCTGTTCTTTCTCTTCGCCTCTCACTCTCTCACTTCTCTTTGTATTATTTATTCTGTGCAACATATGGCTGAACGATAAAACAATCAGTAATTATTGCAATATCATTTTAATCAATGGCAATATAATAAAAGTCCAATATATATATGTATATATATATATGGCTTCATTGCTTATGCATTGTGCAACACAGTGAGGGGGTGTTACTCATTATTCATCTACCTCAGATTTGTAAGAGTTTGGTTTGTAGTTTCTTTATCTAGTGATTATTTAAACCCAAAAGAAAAAATATCAATTATCATTGATCATCTATATTGATTGATATTTACATTATCTTAAATTTTTTTGCCACTTTTACCAGCCCTAGTGCAGTATCATGTTCGCACTGTAGTGACATTTTATTTTTGTTTTGTTTGTTTGATGAAATTTCTAAATTCTTGTAGAACCAACCACAACTTTGAAAAACCTATTTCCTGTCATTTCATAGTGTGTAACTAGAACGGAACGCTCTTAGAGTGTCCCCTTATGAAACTGAATATGCATTTTTGTTTGGATCTGCATAAACTTTTTCACACTCATAGATCAACCAGTCCTGAATTTCTTTCCTCTGATCTGGATCAGCACCAAAATGTAATGAGTTGTTCTTTGGGTCATTTGTGCCACAAAATTTGATATAAAGTGGTTTATAAATTTTTGTGTAAACTTGCTGACAATCAAACAAATACAAATGAGACATAACCTCCTTGTTTGAGGTAATGTCTTTCCTGTATTTGTTTTATTCTCTCACCTTTAGAGGGTCAGAGGTTTGCTGCCCTCTTTTCTAAGCAGGCTCCATTATTCTCTGCTACTATTAAGCATCTTCCTCCCTTCTCCTCCTCCCTCCCCCTGCCTCCCTCTCTTTCTCCCCTGCCCCAGGGGTCTCTCTGTGCAGTTAAGTGGCGGAGGCATAGAGGGTTAGTGAGGCAGTAAAAAGGATGATCTAGAGACCATTCTTTAGCACTCACCCTCTCATTTACCCCGTTAGCTCTCAGCAGCCTGCAGGCCTCGACCAACATTAGCTGACAGTCCGTAAAAGGCGTATAATGCTCATCTTTGTGTGTGTGCATAAGGGCAGTGTGTAACATATGTGTTCACTTTGCGTTCTCGTCCCAGCCTTCTACCAACAACAGTAAGAACAGTATAGTGAGCGCCATCAATGCCCTGAAAGACTCCAACATGGCAACCAACGCCACGATGGTACAGTAGGCCGCCGCTGTGCCGGCTCCCCGCCGTTTCACCTCACTCTCCACCCAGTAGTTTCATAGTAGCCCCCTGTGCCGCATCCTCCATTGTCATAGTCGCTGCTTGTCATACTTCATATACCATCCAGGAGATGTTGCACCGTGACATTCAGGCAGTACCCAGCCTCTGCCAGTTATACCCCCGCCAAGGTGCACGTGTTTCTGAATTTTGAATCAAGCAGATAAGACACTTATTGGGAAATTATTATAAATGCTTTTTATTAGGTTTTATCTGTACATGTGCACCTTTCAGATTTCTAAGGAGCATGCCCTGTAGCGTGGCAGCACAGAGCACTGTAGAGGCCTGGTTCAGAGAGTCAGACAGCTGATATGGTAGAATTTAGTCTCAGGTTTAACAGCTTCTTTGCTATTATCTGTGTATAATCTTAACCTACTCTGATTAACCAGCTATCCTTTAACTTTCTCACTGAAGTCAACACAGCTTTGCAACCACCCATCCTATCATCTTGCTTTGTCATCCAGTTTCTTTAGTCCACTTACTCACCCTCACCCATTTTATCCTGCCATCATTCGCATTTTATCACACTGCAAAAGCTTTATCATTGTTTCACATCCAGTTCCAGCATGTTGTGGTTTTCAGATGTTTTACTAGCATGTGTTATCTATGACATCTTGCAGTGATGTGGATGGGTAACACAGTTCTGGTTTCGTTTGCCTCTCAGCGGGTGGTGCTGGACCCCAAAGTAGGCCATGGGTAGAGCTGCTGGGGGAGGGATGATTCAGACTGCAGACATCACATTGGTGTCTGAGAAACTAGGACTGTGAAAAATTGTGAATTTGCACTTAAGTGTGAATTAAAAAAGTAATTGTGTAAGTATTAAACAGTCTGTAAATCAGTAGATGATAAGAATACCTGTTTGCTCAAGCCCAGGATAGAAACGTAGCTGAAAAGTATCTGAACTCTATTATAATTTCATTATTCCGTTGAAACTTTCTCAATAAAGTCGTCTGATAAAAAAGAAAAAAGCTCTTGTCTGGCCGTTGCAGGAATGTTTATTTTGGGTCTGATGAAAAGATTGGTACCCGTCTGTCACTAACTGACCTGCCTGCTTGTGCAAACCCCACCTGTGTCTCTCACTGCACATGACCGGTCTTTTCAGCCGGGGAGACGATAGACTAAAGTTAGGGAGCGAGTCACGGAAAAGTGGACTTATCGCAGTTGTCAGGCAGTGCACATTCATGAGTTTTGGTGGCCTAGCATTGATGAGAGGGCTGATGGGATTCCAGGATTACCAATCCTAGCTGTAATTTAGCTAAAAGAATTATGCAAAGCAATTTTACAGTTATGATCCTGATTCCAGTGAGACAATCAAGTCAATCAACAGAAAAGAAATCAACACCAATCTTAAGAAGCTGATTATAATTAATTGCTTATCAACTGTAAATATCTGACGGTTATCTTTCTCCTCTTTAGGGGCTGCTCATCAATAAAGACACGCAAATTGAATATATCAACTTTAGCTTAATAAATTTCAGATTTTATATTTTCACCTTTTCATAGACTAAACAATAAATCTATTCATTGAGAAAAAAACTGTAGCTGATTATTAAACGTTGAAATAATCATTAGTTTCAGACATAAACTAGAATATCGATTCCATTCTCAGCCCTAGCCTTGACAGTGCTTTGTGTTCAATGGCTAAATGTACTACTAGGAAGCAGTGTTGGGTTGTGACGTCATTGCTGAGGTAAGATAAGGGGCCCAGCTTGAAGCCAGTTGAGAGGCACTCGTTCCAGGTTGTAATGTGTCGGACTAACTGTTTTGTTCTGCATCACAGGAATCGCAGAGCACAGTGGTGCACAATCCTCCCGATGGAGTTAAGGTGAGATATGTGCTCTGTGTGCATGAAAGACAAGTGTCACCCTGTATGATTTCAATTTCGCTGACTGTGTGTCCATCGCTGCTCTTCAGGGATCAACAGAGAGCAACGCCACCAACGACGAGGAGGAAATGAAAGGTAGGAAAGGTACTCAAGTGTATTATTTCCTTTTCCCTGTTCTTATCCCCTTTCTCTTTCTCTGTCTCCCATCTAGTGAAGTGTGTGTATTTGACTGTAGTGACTGGCAGGTGTGCGGAGATGCAACGCGTGTCTCTCACAGTCTTGACCGTGTGCTTGTGGTGTGTGTATGTGTGTATTTATCGTGTGTCTGGCTGCGTTCTGTGTGTGTGTTCTAGCGGACAGTTCGGTGCTGAGTCAGAGCAGCGCCACAGAGGAGATGCCCCCACTTCTGCCCTCACCTCAAAGCTCACCTGCCAGTAAGTTAATCCATGGCAACCAGAAGCTGTGTGGTTGCCCCTGGCAAGGACCTAACACCACCCCCCCCCCACTCCTCCCCCCCTTGGCTTTGTGTACTGGCAATAACGTCTCACATCTCTGAGCTTCCTCACTCTGATCCACCAAGCTCTTTTTGAGGGTTCCCACGGGTTTTCTAATATTGTTGATTTTTCAGATTTTATATTTTATTTACTTCA